GATCCAGTAGGTAGTCTGCGGAATTTTTTGTAAGTACATCGTGAATAAATAAGATCTGGTGCACAAGCCGTCGAACATTAAGAGATGTTAAGTTTGACCCAATGTAGAGATCACAGTGGTGAGTCCTATATGGGCAGTTCAATGCAAATCTTAAGGCCGAGTGATAGATGGAATCAAGCTTCTTCAGTACAGTACTTGGGGCTGATTTATACACGATGTCACAGTAGTCAAGTAGAGGCAGTATGGTAGCTTTTATCAATTCCAAACGGAACATTGGGGGGAAGCAGTGCTTGTGTCGATACAGAAAACCAATTTTTATTTTTGTCTTTTTACCAATATAATCAATGTGATCTTCAAAACTAAGTTTTGAATCCAGGATGACCCCAAGATACTTATAGATCTTGACTTGCTCTATTTGATAATTATTCAAGGAATGTAATTGGGGAAAAATAACTTCCTGCTTTAGTTCCGGAGAGAAGCATAGCACCTTGGTTTTGGAGGTATTCAGGACTAGTTTAAGAGAAACTAGCTGATGTTGCAGTTTGTTGAAATCACCCTGGAGTTTAGCAATCACGTCATCCGGAGAGCGGCCAGCAGTAATCAGTATCGTGTCATCTGCAAAACTATTTACCCTGGAATGATCCAGTTCAGTGCCCAAGTCATTGACATAAAGAGAGAACAAGAGTGGGCCGAGGATGGAACCCTGTGGAACCCCTTTTGTTATCTTAACACTGTTTGACCTCCAACCATCTGTGAATACAGTTTGGGTGCGAGAAAAGAGGTAATTTTTTAACCATTGTACTGTGTTCTCAGAAAAACCGAGGCAACTTAGTTTACTAAGCAGGGTGTTGTGGTCAACTGTATCAAAAGCTTTGGACAGGTCAAGAAAAAGACAGGCACAGTACTGCTTATTATCAAGGCTATTGTAAATTTGATTCAAAGAGTCTGATGCAGCAGATGGTCAATGCAGTGCTGGATGAAGGCCTCCCCAAGTCATCACCATGCAAATTAAAAAGATCCCCCCGTATAGCCTTGACTGTTGAATGTCTTCAGGTGTGGGTAGAGGAGATATGGGATGTCGTTAACCTGGACATGATCATGGCTAATGGGGTTGGCAGTGCCAATTCCTGTGGTAAATTGTGTGTGTGCTTTTTTAAGGTTACATAAACCCCGAGCAGCCCACCCCTGAGAAATGTGGTAGCATCGAGGACTGGCGAAATCAAATGGGAACGGTCTCGCATCCTGTTTTGCCGGTGCTCTGCTGCGACGTCGACTTGCTGCTGTTTCCTCTGCTGCTACTGCACGGCAGCGAGTTTGAGCATGGGGGCAGTGTACAAGCCATCGCCACTTCCCGTGAGCGGAGCTCTGCTCTCGAGCTTCCTGCTGCCCTGTCCTCCCAGGTGGCCACACTTCCATTTGTTGTTCCTTCGCCCCCCGCCCTGCCTGACCACCCCCACCCCCCCTCCGGCAATTTCCCTCGCCAATTTCCCTCGCCAAGTGCCCGCCCAGCCTCTTGCGCAACAACTCGGTCTCGGCTTCGTGTCATGTCCGTGGGCCGAGGAATGTAGTACATACGTATGTTGGACTTCTTTCGCGCCGTACGTAGCCGACCGTGCTAATCGTAAGGTGCGAAAATCGGTATGTACGTGTCCTCGGGCAGGATGTGGAGTTGGCGGTACGGCGGGTTGTGTGTGTGCCGTGCTCTGGAATCCGGGGACCGGGTTTTCGATTCCCAGCCACGGCTGACGTCGGCGGCGAGTGATGTCGGAACCGTTTAGTTTGTCGTCCTTCCCCCGGGCATCTCCAATTAGCGCGGTCGGCTTCGTACGGTGCGACAGAAGTTCAACATAGACACGTGCAACTGGTCCCGCTCTCTACCTGCCCACCACCTTCACCAACCCCACCAGCTCGATGAAGGATGGTCAAGCAATACCCCATGGACGAGGTGGCGTGGGGAAGCCCTTTATCCATCGGGAGAGTGAGAATAGCTGGAATGTTGTGTTGTCGTTGCTTTAACTTTGTCATTCCACTGTTGGATGAGGGCCTTCCCCACACCGTGTGGATCTTGACGATTATTTGACCATGCTTCACCACCCTGTTTAGTCCGAGTTTGTCAAGATGGGGGAATAGACGTCCAAGTATAAACATAGTGTGCAATCATTTATTTTGTTGTTCACCGCATAACTCTACAGCCTGTAACAGCTCATGATCCAATCACCCAGAAGCTGGATTGTGTATGCATGGGTCAGTTTGCGCTGAAGAGAGCTTTGAGAATTAAGGTGAGGCTTTCCTAGGTAAATGTAGGTCATCGTTATTCCTAGGCAAATGAAGGGCAACCATTATTGAAGAGTTCCAGCAGCGAGAGGGAATTGAGAGAAAGTTCCACCCAACTACTGGTGACGTTTTCCCTCTGCCTCAATGCAGACAGGACTCTCCAGAAAACATCTTGAGACTCAGTGACACCTTCATGGATAAACATCTTAAGACTCAGTGACATCTTCATGGATAAACGGCAATTTGTTGCACTTCGATTTTACTCTGATTAGCGCAGTTGGCTACGTACGGTGCGAAATAAGTTCACCATACATATGTTTCAAGGTATTAGGAAAATAAGTTTCATCACGTGTTCATTTGTTGACATGCTTATACTTAAGCGTGCGTTTTCTTTATTGAGTCGTCTTGGAATGGAAAAATGTACAAACATTATTATTACTATTACCATTTACCCCAAGAGGATGGTCCCATACAAAACAGGACACAGTACAGTGCTGCAGGGATGGGCGAACCCGTGAGTTTGTGATTCTGCGGAAGCCAAAGGAACCCCCACCCTCTGTGGGATCATGTGCAAGAGACCCGACCCATCATTTTTCCTACGCGTGGAAGGTCTGGAAAGTGCCCTTTAATTGTTTCCTATGGGACCCCGTGTGGAATCGGTGTTGTGTTTGGAGGGTTTTTAATGTGGATTCGCCAAACCACACGGGTTTTTTGTTGTTGTTTAAATGTTCTCTCGTGTTAACAGTTATTTAATCCGTTTCCAGTTGTGTCTGGGGAAGAATAAACCAAACGGTGTGGATAAATAATAAGTGTTGCAATTTCCAAAACATGAATTTCACAGCATAAAAGGAATAAAGAGAGGTTCTGGAAATCCGTTGCAAAATAAAAAGCGGAGTGGATTCTTTGTATTTTCAATGCACGTCAATTTAAATATTGATTTTTGCAATCACAATGCCAATATGTGTGAATGTTAGTATTGATCATTTGCTATATATAACCGATATGCTAATGTTCCTTAAGCTCATGTAAATTCATCCGAATGTAATAAATGAGAAGGAAGATACTAAGGAGGCCACCAGTACAAACGAGAATTTTTTTTAAAAGCTTAATATCGCAAGCTTAGATAATGACAATTCATAACATTTTCTGAAGGTGTGATGGATGACATGCCCGTCGTGTGCCAAATGGTGTACAGTATAGCACACGAGACGTGTGTAGTATGAAAAGTAAAAGAGTAGCAACTTTAGATTCAGTAGAGCAGTTCGGTATCATGCGCCCACATAGCTGTTGCCCTGACGTGTTAACCAATGCATTGGTTCGTTCATGAACGTTCGATTCTTAGGCTCGCAATACATGCATCAAACATCCCCGTATGAGCATCGATGTGTTGTTTTTTTGTGCGATTCGTATGTGTTTAGCACGTCATGGGTTTAGCAGGGTGCGTCGGCGGTGCAGTGATTAAGCTGACTGCACTGTGATCCCGTTGTCCCGAGTTCAATCCCCATGATCAGTGGGCAGGCGATCTCTTAGCTTCTCGTCCACTCGCACTAAACCGGCAGCACGACCGGCATGGCGATCCGTGGTCAAATGACGACGAAGTCTGCACGGGGGAGACCCTTCATCTAGCAGTGGTTTGACAAGGGGCTGGTACAGTCCATTCTCCTATAACGCATGTTTTCATCACCTGAATTGTATATAGAACGCAATGAACGTATTAGGGAACACATTTTCATATAACGTGGCTGCGAATTGGGTATATAACGCGAGTCTCGTGAGAGGAACTGCGTGGCGCGAGTAGGAATAAACGGTTGAGTAGCATCGCACAAGGTGGGATGCTGCTGGATGCTTCTCGATGCGACCCACGTGCCTCAGTCTTTGTTCAGTCCTGCATATGTATCTCACGTGTTTATCGCGGACTGTGCCTTACCCTATATATTTTTTTATTTATTATAACGCGATTTTTCCATAACGTGGTGTTCTTCAGGAAAGCAACTCTCGCATTATCGGAGAACAAACTGTATATTTAACCCAGTTTTAACACCACCCACTACAGCCACCGCTACCATTGACCACATTGTTAAACAATTGTATTCTTGAATTGGCCCCGTGGGGTGTGGTGGGAATGGACCTTGGCGTAAGCAATGAAATGGGGACATCTGTCCAATTTCTCTCCTTCATCGCTCAGTGCCTGGGCTCCACGGGCCAGTGGGGAATTGGGGCACCACGGCGGCGAGATATTCAGAGGTTCCATGTTCTCCACGTGGTCGCGTGGATTTTTCAATTCGGTCCTCCGGTTTTCTCTCCACGTTTAGAAACGGTGTGCATCTCGAGTATTCAGCTGCATCTAAATGTCCATGTGATAAGCCACTTTGTTTACCTATCAGTTCTGGCTAGGTCGATTCTGCAAAAAGAGCTATATAGCTCAGTGGGCCTTACCTGGTAAAAAAAATAATGAAGTCTGCTCCTACTCGGCAGCTACCGATGCTGTCCCACATTATCCCACCTGCCATCCGACACGATGCCGCTGTCTTGAAACCGTGACCCTGAATGGGGGCAACATTTCCTTTTTCATTGAGCTGTGAGGTTGGGTGGGTGTGAGTTGTTCTCCACCATTCCTGTTCACCAATGCCTTTACAGCAAATCAGCATTGTAAACAACGCGGCGTTTCGAATGCTTTGCAGTCCACGTGACCGCCGCTGTGTGCCGCTGTGGATCGTGTCTTCCAGTTCCCCGAGTGCGGCTTCTACGGGATGTTTGACAAGATCCTCCTCTTCCGGCACGACCTGAGTGCCCACAACATCCTGCAGCTGCTCACGTCTGCGGACGACATTCGGGATGGAGACCTGGTGGAGGTGGTCCTGTCTGGTGAGAGCACGGGCTGGGATCACTCGTAGGGGATGTTTCTCCTGCACTGCCATGCCCAGTGGGTATAGTAGCCGGGCATGGCAGTGAGGATGGCTTGACGACATCACAAGAGATTGCTGCCAGAAAGATGTGGCACCGACTTGAGGATATTGGCACAAGACAGAGGAAAGTGGAGACAAATGAGGAAATGTGCAGTTGACGCGTGCGGGCTATCTGTTCATGTATCGTGATGATGATGATGATGATGGCGGCAGCTCCCCCTGGTAGAAAGAGTACAGGCAGAGCCCTGGGATTTGTTGCTGGTGCAAAGGCCTCCAAGAGCAGGAGCTCTGCAGAACCCCTTCCGAGAGGGTATTTAGGTCTACTCTTCCACACTGGCCAGGCGCACTGGAAGAAGTGGGAGCACCCACACTTTACCCATCCGCACGCGACCTGCCCATCGTTTAGCTACGATGTCCTCGTTTACACTGCTGTGGGTGGACAGAGGAAAGGAACATTTAATCAACTTGGCTCTCCAGCACACACCTGCGTACTGTGCTAGTGACGAATTGGCCACGTTCTGTTTACGTGACAACCCTGACTGGTTGGCTATGTCGGGTGGTGGCGGGTTTCAACGACACATTTATATATTTACGCGATCTAACCCGAACAACTTCTATTATAGATTTTATAAACTTGCCCATTTGATTCAACTGCTGCCGATCAAACCGGCGGACCTCTGTATTGCAAGTCCAGGGTGCCAATTACACTGGGACCTGGTGCAAGCAAGCAAATGCCCCCCCCCCTCCCCCTGTGCCATTAAACCCTCTTAAAAAATGTTCCCTATATTTCAAAATGACAATGACCGTTTTGACCTCTCACGGTCAGTTAAAATGGAATCTATCATGCCTCCAGTCATCTTCATTGCATTTGTATCCATAATTGATTACTTTCCTTGGGTTGCATTCTTATTCAATCAACCCAAGGAACGAAAACACATCCTTTGTTCTCATTGTGTTTGGCACGGTTGGCATATGAATGGCGCGAAAAGAAATTCAACATACATACACACAAAGATGAAGATCCCCCATATAACCTTAGCAGGCTGTTGGGGTAAGTGCTGTTAGCGAGCACTTTACATGCATACCTGGCCATGCCTCTACATCACTATGGCATGGTGTAGAACCCTCTGGTGTTATTTTCCGCACCCAGGGCCGACCTTCATGATTTTCCCACCCAAGGTGAGGCCAGAGAATGCCGACCCCTAGTGTATGTTTGCCGTGGATCCTTCTGTAAGCAGTCTTGAATTTGAGCAGTGTTCACGATTTAGGAACATCTAATCACATTCTGTTCGGGATGTTCTTGCTCTGGGGGAATGTTTTTTGCAGTGATTAGCTCATTGCCCTCTGAAACTAAAGACTTGAGTTTGATTCCTGCCAATGGATAACATCAGCGTCGAGTGATGATATCTGAATGAGTCCTGAGCCCTGCTTAAAACCAAACCATTATTTTCATCATACAAGGTAAAGCCCATAATAGAGGTGTTTTGGGGTTAGATCCCGTAAATATATAAATGTATCCTTAAACCCCGCCACCACCCGACACAGCCAAATAGTAAGGGTTGTCACGTAAACAGAACATCCCAATTCGTCACTAGTACAGCACACCGGTGCGTTGGAGAGCCAAGCCACAACAAGGTAAAGACCCACTGAGCTATATTGCTCTTCTCAGAAGCGACCTCGCCACAGATGATACTCAACAAAATGGCTAATCGTGTAGAAATGCATGGCGGCCAAATACCTAAAACGCATATTTACAAAATGTGCAGGGGAAAACTGGAGGACCCGGAGAAAAATCCACGCGACCACGGGGGAAAAAAACATACAAACTCCAAATATACAGGAGTCGGGGTCTGGATCGAACCCATTATCTCCTGTATACCAAGCAAGGTAGTTAACACTGCGCCACCACCCCTTCACCAACACACACTGACCAGGGTGGTGAAGTATGATTAAACAAGCCCCATGAACAATACAGCATGAATAGGGAAGGCATTCATCCAACAGTGGGTTGACAAAGTGAATAAAACATTTCTTACTCTAGTATACTGGCTCGTACTGTAAAGTGCTCTTGACCACAGACCGACCCCTGTGTTTGGTCTTGTGTTGCTCTTGGGTGGATTTTATCTGGCCAATATGGATGGCCTGCCACGTGCAAAATTATTCCAGAGGAATTGGCCAAAATCCAAAGTTAGAATCCTCCTAAAATAATCGTGTCTTGAGATCCAGTGAGGCTCTCATGTGTTTAAATAATGCAATACAGTTTGTGTTTGCCATTGAGTGGCAGAAAGAAGGAGGAACACACGGATTAGAGGAAACACACGTAGGCTAAAAACACAATTAAACCTGTTAGTAAAAATAAGTGGGCTTGGCCAGGATGCATCGCTAGAAATAATGATGGTGGCCGATGGCCAAGAATGGTGATGGAGTTGATAGCCAAGGAATGGAATTCGTCCCAGAGTGCATTCATCAAGGATATAGATAACATTAGCTCGTGTGCAGGTCCTAGGTGTGGCGGATGTTGAAGACTTGGGGAGGCCTTCATCCAGCAGTGGATTGATCATGGCTGATGTTGAAGACGATAACCTGTTCCCGCACTGCACTCGCACACATTGTATACCCTGGTCTCATCCGTTATTTAGGAGTGTGTGTGAGCGTCTGTGATGCAGAGAAGGGTCAGCTCCGTCAACACTACAGTATTCCCCAATGTAGATCAACAGTTACAGAACTGTGTAAACACACGTGTGGCATGTCTAAAGGGCGAATCAATTGCCGCCGTCTGTTTGTGGTGGGCCGATTTTAAAATCGATGCTCGCTGTGCCTAGCTTTGCAACTGCAATGTGCAAGTTTCATCGGGAGAAAACGTTGGCTTTTTGCGACTACATCTCTGCAGTGTAGATGTGGACTGTAATTTATGAACCGTAATAGGAATTTACAGCCGTTTGTCCATTGAGCTATTTAGTGTTTTTTTTCAAAAGCGACCTGGCCACAGATCATTAATAGCGCTACGAAGTGGCTAGGCATGTGCACATTTATTGTAGCCAAATACTCTAAACTGATATTTATAAATGTGGATTAAAAAACCGGAGGACACGGAGAAAAATCCATGCAACCACGGAGAGAACATGCAAACTCATAATATACACAGGCATCAGGGTTCACATCGAACCCATGGCCTCCTGTATACCAGGCAAGGTAATTAACAGCTCGCCACCACGGCGCCCCATACTTGCTGATAAAGGCAACAGGAGCATGGTGCAAAAGTCCCTTTATCGGCCCAGTGCTGGATGAAGGCCTCCCCGATTCATGTGCCAATCAAAGAAGTTGATTTGACCATACTTCACCACATTGGTCAGTGAGTGCGGTTAGTGAAGGTGGTCACTCAGGACCGATTCGGGTGTTACTCGCCATCGATGTTGGCCTTGGCCAGGAATCGAACTTGCATCGCCTGGTTCATGCCACAGTGCGCCAAGAAGTTCTAGAGTGATTACCTTGTATAAAGAGCTAGGAGTGCCTCGTGCTAAATGTAGCAGGTGTGTGTACTGTACTGTAGCGACAGCACGAGATGAAAATGAGCCACATTGAGATTTAAAACATGCATTCAGGCTAGAGCTCTTTACGTGAGAAATCCATTCAAAAAAATAGTACAAAACGCAGTCCAGCTCTTATTACCATTTAAATGAATGTCATTAAATATACAGAATATGTTGCCAAAAAAAAATCAGTTTTGAACATAATCTGTGTGTAAAGAATCTCCATATGTTTTGTTTTGCAGATTTGTAGATTTTATCTTTGAAGAAATGCACACATTTTTACTGTTCCTCGTACAAAGTGAGAATAATCCAGTTGCGTCCGTCCAGTTTGGCAACAAATGCCGTGCTAAAAACGGCGTAGGTTAAAGCAGATTGACGTAAAAAAACACATTATTTTGAGACTTTTTTAATAAAAATGTTTCACCAACGTTAGCATTAATCTTATCGTCTGCCCACCAGCTTGCCAAGGAAACCTCGCCACCATTCCCGTTTTTTTTTGTAGGGATTCTGTGAGTGTTTATTCTAGATTAACGTTGTGGCACAATTTTAAATTACGTGCCTCTCCCTCCATTGCCCCTCCCCCCCCACTAATGATTATTCACGATGCCCACGAGCAGTGGGTGACTTGACAAGTTGGCAGAGAGGGAGAAAGCTTAATATGAAAAGAAATTTGAACGAAGATTAACGCCAAAAAAATATATGGGCGCATGCTACTGCACCTGAAGACGGTTGCTTGTGTGGCGATCGAAACGTCGTGATATATTATTGTTTCTACCTACGTGACTTTGCTGAAAGAACTAAAAGAGTATGAATGAAATATGTTTGACTGATGTGTTCGTTTACGTACGAGTTAAGCTCATCCGGTGATTAATTGTAGGGAGGCGGCGTTTATGTACATTTTGTATCTAATTTGTTTACTTAAAATCGTCTGTACATTGGCCATAATGTTGGAAAAAAACATGATCAGAGAATGGGAAAGGAGAGATGAGCCAGACTTCAATCCAGCAGTTGCACACTGGGGCGAAGCAGTGTCTGGTGTGTTCATCCGATGCAGCACAATGTAATACAGTGAGGGGAAAAAAGTATTTGATCCCCTCCTGATTTTGTACGTTTGCCCACTGACAAAGAAATGATCAGTCTATCATTTTAATGGTAGGTTTATTTGAACATTGAGATACAAAATCACAACAAAAAAATCCAGAAAAACGCATGTCAAAAATGTTATAAATTGATTTGCATTTTAATGAGGGAAATAAGTATTTGACCCCCTCTCAATCAGAAATTTCTGGCTCCCAGGTGTCTTTTATACAGGTAACAAGCTGAGATTAGGAGCACACTCTTAAAGCAAGTGCCCCTAATCTCAGCTTGGTACCTGTATGAAAGGTACCTGTCCACAGAATCAATCAATCAGATTCCAAACTTTCCACCA